TCGCGTGGTCGTTGTCAAGAGTGAAGGGCCCCATCCACGCGGCCGGCATGAGCATCTTCAGGTATTGTTCAGCATGGTGGATGTCTAGCTTCCCTCGAGTGGACCTCCAACGGCGACATGATGATGTTCTCGGGGCACCAGTACTGACCCGGCTTTTCCAGGCTGCAATGCGAAATTGTAACCCGACAGCTGCGAGTTTTTTTTTTTTTTTTTTTTTTTTTTTTTTTTTTTTTTTTTTTTTTTTTTTTTTTTTTTTTTTTTTTATATATATATATATATATATATATATATATAACGTCCTCCTCTGGTGCTGGGAGGTGGGGTGGGCTGTCCTGGGGCCTACCTCCTTCCTCGACCTCGAGGGTATAACCCTTGCTGTGCTGAAGTTGGCCCCTGCTTTCATCAGTGAGCGATCCCAGACACAATATTTCAGAATAGTAGGATCCATAATGTTGCTAAGCTTAAGTGTCACACCCACCCCAGCCCCTGTAGTGACCTCATTCAAGAACATGGGCTCTGGTGGGAGCTGGCGGCTAGAGTGTTAGCTAGCAAGCATGACTTAGAGCCCAAGGAAGTTTGTTCTGCCAGACAAGTTTTCGGAGGGACCATCCCAACTGCTGTGGAACTCAGGTCCTGGGGATACTCCTTGGCCCCCGAGTGCAGGTTTGGCTGTGGGGTCCCAGATGCCGTTTTCCACAGAGCCTGGCAGTGTGTGCATGGCAAAACGAAGAGAGAATAGGTCTTTCTCGGGGGCCACGATTTTGCAGGCGCTCGGGGCTGGTGAGTCCAGTCTGCTGTTCACGAGGTGCTGGCTTGCCCGTCTCCCGGCTGATCCACCAGCTGAAGGGTGGGACGTGAAGTTCTACCAAGGAGGCCGACAAAAGGACCCCTTTGCTTTCTCGCCAAGTGGACGGGTCCTGCCTGAGGCCGAATCTGGGGTACCTGGCGAGAGCGGGGTGGGGGGTCGGTCTTGTGGATGCCCAGGGGAACTCCGTCCGAGGTATTTGTGGGTACGTGCCCAGAGTCTTCGGTCAAAGCAGTAGAGTAGGTGACTTAATTGCCATGCTGATGGCACATCTGTACACGGAGCGCGAAGATACCAACGGGCCCAAAGAGCCGCTTGCCGTGGACTTCGCTGCGTTGCTCCGTGGGCAGTCTCATCCTGACCAGGTTCTTCGCGGCCAAGTGTGATGCCGCTCATTTTTGGCGCGAGGTAGCCGCGACTCTCGATGTTGGTGAATGGGTGTCCTTCCATAGGGCGAAGGCCCACAGAGCAGACGACTCTGCCATCAGCGAGAATGATAAAGCAGATATTTGTGGTAATAAATATGCCGGTTGGCTTGCCAAACAAGGGGCCAGGTCTCACGATTTTGACCCTTCGTTCTCCGATACTGTAGATTCCACGTTCTCCCAGTTTAAGGAGCTGTTTGTGGGGATGGGGAAGGTCCTGTCCCTCTGGCCCCCCCCCAGTGATCTGTTCTGAGTGCTGGATAAGGAAGTTGTGAGACCCCGTGGCCGTCGTAGGACTCTTACGTCACCACATATCCCTTACTGGCACATCGATCACTGGCGGTGCAGTCACTGTCTCAGAACTGTGTCACCACGCACTAAGACCCCTTGTATCGGCCTGAATCCCTCACTTCTGGAAGTGCTGAAGACCCCTGGACATTTCGGGCATTCCCTCCACGTCGCCTTTGTCGTGGAGTCTGGTTTTCCTGTTGTTCTGCTCCAGGTGCGGCGCTTTTGGGACTCGGAAAGCCATCGAGCTGAGGTCGAGGTGCGTGCCGAATGAAAATTCGAAAGAGAAGCGTACCCTCCTCAAAGGCAAGCTTCCGATGACGCAGCGTAGAATTCATTCCCCCCAGCAGGTCAGCGGCGCCGCCCTGGGAGATTTCATCACTCAACTCTAATCTTCTGGGTTCGTGCCCATGTGCCAGCTGTGGTCTGTATGGCTGACGCTCTCGGTACCCGCAGTACCCGCAGCTTGGGAGCCTCTGGGGGCACTCTTGGGGCCTCCTGGGAGCTTCCTGGGAGCATCTTGGAGGCATCTTGGGGGCCTCCTTGGGCCTCTTGGGGGCCTTTGGGGGCTTCTCGGGGGCCTCTTGGGCAGTCTTGGGCCATCTCTTAGAGCCATCTTGGGCCGTCTTGGTGGGGCCCTGGCCCGTCTGGCGCCGTCGGAAGCCCTCTTGGGCGTCTTGGAGGCCTCTTGGGCCGTCTTGGGGCCCTCTTGCGGCCATCTGGGGGGTCTCTTGGGCCGTTCTGGGGCCATCTTGGAGGTCTCTTGAGCGACCTTGGGGCGATCTTTGGGCGCTCTGGGGCCGTCTCGGGCCGTCGGAATGCGGAAAAGAAGCAAATGCCCAAATCCTTCAAAACCTGAGGACAACCCATGATTTGGGCCTCTTCGGGCCTTCCTGGAGGTCCTCTTGGGGGTCTCTTTGAGCCTCTTGGGGGCCTTTGGGGGCTTCTCGGGGGCTTCTTGGGTTGTCTTGGGCCATCTTAGAGCCATCTTGGGCCGTCTTGGTGGGGTCCTGGCCCGTCTTACGGCGGTCTTGGGGGCCTCTAGGGCTGCCTGGGAGCGTAGGGAAACCGAAAAGGCGATAACGCCAGAATCGCTCAAAAACCAAAGAAGCCAGAAGCCGTGATTGATTTTGGCCTCTTAGGACCCTCTCGGGGGGCCTCTTGGATGCATTTTTGGGCGTCTTGGAGGCCTCTAGTCTTGGGCTGTCTGGGGGCCATCTTGAGCGTCTTGGAGCGATAGTTCGGCGACTCGGGGCCTCTTGGACCTTTTGGGGGGGCCCCCTTGGGGCCCTCTTGGCCCGTGTTGGGGCCCTCTTGGGCCCGTGTTGGGAACAATTCGTTCATGCGACAACGCTTCCCGGAGCTCGTGGGGGCACGCGACAAGCCCCATGGGGGCACGCGGGAAGCCCTGGGGGAGGTTTGAGAGCGAGGGGTCTGGGTCCCTTACAGGCCCCTTGCGGAGTGAGGATTGGGGCCCGGGACCCGAGGGCGCGCCCACTCTGTGCCCAGGGGCACGCTGGCAGATGAATTCATGAACGGTGGGGCAGAAACACATGGAAATTGCACATCCCAGGGTGAGTGGTAAGGCCGCCCTCGGGAGGGTGGCAGAATCAGTTGTATTTCGATGTAAGAATCAACGCAGCGCAGTGAAACGCACTGCAGAGCAATGCAACGCAATGAAAAGCAGCGCAAAGCAATGCAGAGCGATGCGCAGCAATACAAACCAATGCAACGCAATGCACAGCAATGCAAAGCACTACACCGCAATGCATAACAATGTACGGCAATGCAAGTCAATGCAACGTAATGCAAACCACTGCAAAGCAATGCAGCACAATGCAAAGCAATGCAAAGCAGTACAGAGTAATGAAATGCACAGCACTGCAACGCAGTGAGAAGTAGTGTAACGCAATGTTGGGCAGTGCCAAGCAACGCAGCGCAAAGAGTTGAAAGGCCAGGCAACGCAGTGCAGAGCAATGCAAACCGATGTAAAGCAGTGCGCAGTAGGGCACAGTAATGCAACGCAATGCAAAGTTACGCAAAGCAACTGAACGCAAGCACTGCAGTGCGGTGCAAATCAGTGCAATTGCAATACATTGCGATTGCAACACAGTGCCCAGACGACGGGCGGCGACGAGGCGGCGGGCGGCGACGAGGTGGCGACGTGGCGGCCACGGGGCGGCGACGGGGCGGCGACGGCGGCTACATGGCTGCCAGACCGCCACCGCCGCCCAGATCAGAAAAGAAGTACGAGCCCCCACGTGCATGCACTGCCCGGGGATTGTCGAAATATAGTGCACCATTTTTCAGATCACTGTACAGCAGTACATAGCAACGCAACGAACGCAATGCAAAACAATGCGCTGCAATGCAGAGCAGCGCAGCGCAATGCACAACAACTCAACGCAATGCAATTCAAGGACACGCAATGCAAAGCAATGTAAAACAATGCAACTCAGTGCAAACCAATACCATGCAATACAGACAAACACAGAGCAATGCAACACACGGTATAGCAATGCAGAGCCATGCGCATCAATCCAAGGCAGTACAATGCAATGCGATTGCAGATCAGTGCGATTGCAATGCAACAGCGTAAAGCAATGCAGCCTAACGCAACGCAGTGCAACACAAACATAACCATGCAACGCAATGCCACACAGTGCCAATCAATTGAAACCAAATCAAAGCAACGCAGAGCGATGCACACCAATTTACAGCAATGCAAACCATTGAAAGCAGTGCAAAGCAATGCAAAGCAATTCGAAGCAATGCGAAGCAATGCGAAGCAATACGCAGCAATGCAAAGCGGGCGGCGACGAGGCGGCGGGCGGCGTCGAAGCGGCGACGGCGGCGACATAACGGCCAGAGCCGCCCGCAGGCCCATGCGACGGGCGGCGACGGGAGGTGACGCGGCGGCGATGGCGGCCACATGCAGCCCGTGAAGGCCCGCAGGCCCAGGCGACGGGCGGCGACGGATGGCGACGGGAGGCGACGAGGTGGCGGCGGCGGCGACGGCGGCCACATGGTGTCCACAGCGGGTCGCAGGCCCAGTCCCCGAGAACAGGAAGGAGAACCAAACGTGCGAGCGCTGCTTGGGGAAAGACAGGGCAGTGTTGCTCCAGGACTTGTGTCCTTCATGCTGCAGTTCCTCGCCACGACGATCGGTCCAATCCTCCTTCTCGTCCCCCCCTATCCTCCTACCCTTCCCCCTCCCTTCCCCCCATCCCCCTTCCTCCTCCCTCCTCCCTCCTCCCTCCTCCGTCCTCCTTCTCCTCCTCCTCCACCTCCTCCACCTCCTCCTCCTCCTGCCTTCCCCCTTCTCCTCCTCCTCCTCCTCCTCCTTCCTGTCTTCTTCCTCCTCCTCCTCCTCCTCCTCCTCCTCCTCCTCCTCCTCCCCCTTCTATCCTCCTCCGCCTCCTCCTCCTGCGGGTTATTAGGGCAGCCTGACTGCCTTGGAGAGAGGAGGACGGCCACGGCAGGAGGCCGCCAATCTCGAGAAGTCCACCGCCGAGGAGAAGGCGGACAGGTCGGGCGTGCAGAAGGACACCCCGGCCCCCGGCCCGTCGCGGCGGCGTGCCGTTGGCGTGCACGGCTCCCCGTCCTGGAGGGAGGAGGAAGAGAAGGAGCAGGAGCAGGAGGAGGAGGAGGAGGAGGAGGAGGAGGAGGAGGAGGAGGAGGAGGAGGAGGAGGAGGAGCATGAGCAGGAGGAGGAGGAGGAGGAGGAGGAGGAGGAGGAGGAGATCCCCGAAGGGAGGCGGAGGAGGAGGAGGAGGAGGAGGAGAAGGAGGAGGAGATCCCCGAAGGGAGGCGGAGCTGGAGGAGGAGGAGGAGCAGGAGGATGAGGAGGAGGGGGAGAAGGAGGAGGAGGAGCAGCAGGCGGGGAGCGAGGAAGAGCAGTGAGGAGCAGGAGAAGGAGGATGTAGGAGAAGGATGGAGGGAGGAGGAGATGGGGAAAGAGGAGATCGGATAACAGAGCAGTGACATCACCACCACCAGGGGCGGCACCTGCAGCGACGAGGCCCACGATCCTTCTCCGATTAGGCGATAAGGGATGTTTCAAGCGGGGCGGAGAGACTCCACTACCAGGAGGACCCCTTCTTGGCTCCTCGCGCTGGTAGTAGTTGTGCCGCTTTTCGAGGAATGGAATGGAATGAAATGGACTGGAATGGAATGGAATGGAATGGACCTATCGCGAATCGAAGTAACATGACCTAACCACCACCCAAGCCGTCTGCCCGGATTTAATTCGGCTAACGGTACCACTTGGGCCAGAGGCCCATGTGAATTCGATCGAGACACGCCTGCCCATTGGGCGAGATACGCTTCCTGGGACCTTCCGAACCTGCGGGGGAAACCAAACAGAGTTCGGCCAGGGCGGGCCTAAGCTGAACACTGGCATACGAACCGCACGAGCTACATAACCACACATTGAGAGAAGGATGGAAACGGAGCTCGTGCGACGGGTGGGTCCACCCACGTCAAATATGTATGGACTGACCCCTCGGAAGCTTCAACACCGAGGAATTGGACAGAGGCTGCGACTAGACACATTTAGTTTTCCTCCACCCGGTCAGGTGGGCTTTGAAGGCACAGGTATGGTAGTGAGTGCAAGTCCGACCGTCAGCCGAGAACGTATGCTGGGATCCGAAGAGGGCGAGAGCAGCAGGGGACGGCGGGGGCCGCCGGTCCTTTTTCCTCACGTCGACCCTCTTTTCCACGGCAGCAGCTTCCAGGTTCGCCCTCAAAAGGTGGACTGACCAAGCTGGCCTTGTGCTCCGCTTGGGCCACGCGCGCACGAGAGGACGGAGGTGGATGGGCTTCCGTACACCTTAGGCGATGCTTAAGAAAACCTAAGTTTTCGGCCAGAGGCTCGATTATTCTTAACGTTTCCATGTAAATCCTAAGATTTGAATGGAAATATTGGGTTTTTATTCAAGTTCTGAGACGATGAATTTCTTAACCCATGATTTCTTAAGCATTTCGCAGGGTGTAGCTTCCACACTCGCCGCTTCGTCGGTGGCCTCGTTGCCCTGGGCCGAGTGCCCGAGGCCGCGAGAGTTGCCCCTTACTGGTGAGAGGCAACCTGCAACACCAGAGAAAGCACGCTGGCTCTCTTGATCGCCAACGAGAATCCCGAGGTCCTAATCCTCGCTCCCGGGGAAACGAAGAAGCTTCGAGTGCCAGCCATCCATCCTCGCCTGGTTGTCGGCGGCGTGAGCAGGCATACCCGGACCGAATCCGGTTGCTGCCCAGAGGGCCGTCGGCTCCCCCACGTGGGACCGACTGCTTAGCACCAGGCAGATGGCTACGCAGAGAGACCAGCATTTCAAAGGGCTCGAAGTAATCCACACTGACAAGGCCGACCCCCATCTTGCGCAACCGATCATCGTTGGCAGTCTTTCACCCTCGCTTGCATCTCCATAAACGAGAAGTGGATGGTTGGGTGACCCGACTCCGAGTGTGAGCGCGTCTAGCGGCCCTGCTATGCCGCTAGCTCTCCAACAGAACTCATCTGGTGGCGCCTCGACTCGAGTTCACTCCGCACGCTAAAATGCCACGCAAGTCTCGGCCTCGTGCTCGCTGTGCGCTTGATGCGCCAGCTCGTCTGAAGCCGTGTATGCTGTCGACTCTGTATAGCACCTGCAGGACCACGCGCGGTGGAAGACCGTCTTGGGAGCCTCCTGGCACCGCGGGCAGATGACGTCGATGTCGCCGCCGACCTCGTGGGTTCGTCGCCTAGACCAAGCGCCTCCTACAGCCACGCACAACATCATATCCGAAAGCTGGTGGCCGTGCTCGGCCTTCTCCAGAGCGAGAAGCAGCTTCCTGTAGGGACCGTTGTCGGCCCCCTCTCGAGTCCTGCTCCACAGAAGTGCGTGGAAGCCGTGCGCCACTGCTGGGAGCGACTTAACAGTTCGAACTCGTGGAGCAGCTGTGCGATGTCGTCGTGAGTCTGCAGCTGGTCGAAAATTAGGGCCTCGCGGCCCTCGGATCCAACCGTCTTCGTGCCCCACTCGGTCGGGTCCGCGGGGTCCAGTCGTGTTGCAATGAGTCGCAGATGACCGCTCCCGTGGGCCTTCTGATGTGTCTGGTACGCTCCTGGGTCGAAAGGCTCTGAAACATCTGGGCCATCATGCTCCATTCTGCGCGTGCTCCAACCTGGATCTTCAGCGAAGATGCCCGTGGCCATAACCGCGGCTTCGAACAATCCCGAGGTAACATGCATCCTGGGTCATGGCCTGGGCTCCGAAAGTCGAGATCAGATGTCAAGCACCTGCCTCGTCGCGCTGAGCTGGCTACGTGGCCGGGCTTCCTGCGCATCGCCAAAGTGCCAGATCCGAACACGCCGTGAATATGTTGCCCGTAGTTCTCAGAGGGCTGAGCACCAGCCTTCTCCAAACGGATTGCTGGTTGGTGCCGTCGAGCAGCGTGTGCCAAGCGTCTGATCTTCGCGTGCGTGCCTGACTCCTTGGCGACTCGCTTCCTGTCCGCGCACCTCGCGTGTCGCCCTGCAACCGAGTCGACCCCCAGGTGCCCCGCCTGCAAGACTGGGAGGACTGTGATGCCCTTCTTTGAAGGCGGACCGGGATCGCCCCTGCGTCGCGATGGTGGGAACAACGAAGAACACTCTTGGCGGCGTTCAGAAGACCGTCGGCCTCGGCGGTCTTGCTCGTGTGAGTGGTAGCCTTGCCCAACCGCATCTTGACAACCGACCATCTGACGTGACTTATCGGCCCACAACCTCATGTCGACCATCAGACTTCCCTCCCTTGGTGACAGCGTCGAGGAGGCAGTGCGTCATGCATCTGGCGAACCTGGTACCGCTGCGCAACCATTGCATCGCTCTCCCCTTGGGCTGAAGCGCCTCTGAGAAACAATCGCGCTGGGCAAGTGCGCGAGGCCCGAGACAGAGTTGAAGTTCCAAGAACACATGATTGGGGGAAGGCCCATCTAGAGGGCTTTGGCAGCGACAGTAATTCAGGAACCGCTACCATAAAAAAGGACAGGATATCAATAGGTCCATGACCGAAGGCAACTTCAATGGCATACTGGATCTTTTTTTCCACGATGCGGAGGAAGCGCTCTCTGAGACCCGAGTTGCCTGCCACTGCCGCGTCCCAATGTGGCTTAGAGTCAAGTGTCCATTCTTTGACCCGCGGGTCCCTCGCACGGGGCCATAGTCCTGGCACCGTGGCAACCATGCGAACATAACGATCCCCGCCATTGTTCATTGCCAGAATACGGCCTATGACCAGTTGTACCTGCCGCGGCCACGTCGCACACTATTCAACTGCATTAAGAATGCCCGCTGGTTCATCAAGGCCTTCTGGTGGAAGGCGTTCCACATCAGGTGGAGAGAGTCGGCCCGCGCCTTGACCTGCCCGAGGGCGCGCCAGATGCGCAGCTGCACGGATCTCGGGGCCCGTTAGCGGAGGGGGGGCCTCCGTTTCTGCAGCCTCGCGGATGATGTCGAAGGTGCGGAACAGCTCAACACGATCTAAAGGCTTGCTGCGCCACAAGCGATGCCACTTGCCTGCTTTGTGATCAATCGCATCTTCAGGGTGGAACAAGTAGTTTGCCGTGCAATGCCAACTCTTCGGCTGGCTAAGGAGTGCCCTTGCTTGACCGACGCAGTGCAGGTAGGTCCGCCTCCTAAACAATTCATGAGCGAAATTCGTCAAGGGACCGATGTAGGGCGCGCCCACGGGCACGTCGATACGCACTCTCTGCTGCCTCAACCATAGCTGACAGATTATCCGCAGATGTGTGGAGCGGGGTGCGCGTGGCACTGATCCACTGCTGTCAGTACCACTTCTCGCTGACCAACGTGTGAGCGATCGACGGGTAATCTCCGATCAGCTTGAGAGAGGCCTCAGCAAGAGCAGCGCAATGCCGACGTCCGTTGCCCCGTTGACAATGCTGCAAGAGCCTTGCGATGACCGCGTGGGCTCGCTCCCGCCAGGAGCTCGCCTGATCGTGGAGAGGATACCCGCGATCCTTGACTGACATGCGGACCTCCTTTACCTGGAAGCTCGGGCCCGCCGCTCGGCGTCGCGAGGAAGCGGGTGCGGCCTGACCATGGTGATCTCAAACCGTAGCCGCCTGCGTGGTAGCAAATGCTGTGAACGTATCGCTGACTGCTGTGACATGCCGCGCTCCCTCGACAAACGCGAGGGATGCTCAGGCTACCCTCCAAGTACAATCCGCAGAAGTAAAACCAGCCTGGGCGCGATGCTCGAGCCAGAATGTTGCCGGAATGTAGGAAGGAGGATGGGGGGCTGGAGACGTGGCAGTATCGGCACCTGCAGGGATCCCTGTGTGAAGCTCCGAGGGGCCGTGAGACCGACCAGAGCAATACTTAAGAGTATCCACAGGCTGATGCTGAGCGGGCCTCTCCAAGGGTCCATCTGGGGGCTGGGGAGGGGTCGCTAAGCTAGCAAAATCTAGACGTAAGGGCTGTCCTCCAGACTGCGGGTTCGTGCAAGCGCTGGCTTGCGCCCTATCGCGAGCCCCAAAGTTGTCCTCGCCAGCCCAGGGGTCT